TTTTGCGAATATGTGAATATATTGTTAATATGTTTTGCGAATATGGGAATATATTGTGAATGTGTGAATGTTGCATGTAGGATTGTGAATATTGTGAATGAAAGATTGTGAATATTCCCCATAACTGAGTGATAGTTAGAATTTAGTCTTGCTGGTTATGTCAGATTAATAAAATAGATATTTTTTTATTTGTGAATATTTATAAAACAACCACAGTGTTTTTTTTGTTTTTTTTTGCTTTGTTTTTTAATCAGAGCTTTTATTTTAAGTATGCTAGCTGTGTTTTATCCAATACCCTTTGTAACTTGAAGTGGTCTTGATTGACGTCAGTGAGGTTGATACGCTCTCTCTCAGTAGAAAATAGCTGGTGGAGGTTTATTAAAAGCTGCTGTGATCAGTTTGGTCTCCCAGAAAATTATCAATTCAGAATAGATTTGCAAGGAAACTGAGGAACAAAACAAAGGAAAATTTCATAGAATGTTATGTATTAAACCTTTTCGTGAATATGAAATTTACTTATGATACAGTTGTTGTATATGCAAAATGAAGTAAGCATTTGTTTTTATAGCCATAAAACATTCCTGATAGTGGCAGTGTCGAGATGTCCATGGCCTCTGTGATTGTGTATGACTGGCAAAGACCAACTAACTAACTATATTCATGGAAGATAGAACTCGAACTGGGTGCAGATTTAATGATAACTTGCCATAGAAGTCCACAAGAGCTCCTATTAATTATAGTGACAAAATATTTTATATTATAAATGTCACTGTAAGTAGATTTTGGTACAAATATTTACTTCAAGGAGATGAAACAGACATTATCCTAAAGCAGTGACTATTATTGTTTAAGAAGTGGTCCCATGGAAATAATGCATTCTAAAAATTAGAATTATGAAGGAAATCAAATATTTTGTGCTATAATGTGACAATCACAAGTAGAAAAAATTACATTGGTTCCAGTATTTAATTCTGGCATTTGTGTGGACAGTTAGTTACAAAAGGCAGTGTCATAATTTCTTGCAAAATTCAGAGAACATTTTAGCAGATCTTTCCTTGGATTTGGACTATTCAAGTTGCATATATTATTTCATTTGAATAAGATTTTTTTTTTCTTTCCTTCTCTCTTTTTTTTATTATTGTTTTCTTAATATTTTCTTAAATTAGTGTCAGATTTAGTATTAGTTATACAGTTAGAATTTTCTGTATGATCCATTTTTGCACTCAACAGCATATATTAGAAATTTTGGGGAATAAAACAAAGAAATAAAGAGAAAAAAGGAAACTCAGGAGTCTTGGAGACACATCATGCATTTATCTTTACACCAAAACCTAAGTTGTTATCCTCATTTCCACAGATAGGTTTATGACAGGGGGGCTTAATATCACTGTAACTGGACACTGAATAGCCATGAAGATAATCATCTCCCAGTGTTTCCTAATTTGACATGAAATAATTAAAGATAGGTGGCAGAGGTGAAGGCTGGCTTGTAACATTAGCCTATGAAAGATTTTAGTAAAAATAACTTGGCATAGTAATTCCAAATAGTCTAATGATGCTAAGTTAGTACAGACATTTAATACAGTAACATCTGAATGTAAATAAGTTGGTGTGATAGGTTTATAATTGGCTTTAATCATAATGACGGTTACAGATGTTCTTCTGTCTTTAGTTTCCCGAGTTTATAGCATTCATTCTTTTCGAGTAATGACCCAATCTCTGTCCCTGATTATTAAAGCTGCTCATATCCTCACAAAACCATACATAAATTGATTATTGGAATATTTAATAACCATTTAGAATTTCAGAGTTGAAGAGGACAAAATTGATAATGGCCAGTTCTTGCTAATGAAAACACAGACATAACATATTAATTACTCAGTCAAATATCCCAATACCAAATTGTTGCAGTCCAGAAATTAAAAGACCAAACCTTAGATGTCAAAATGTTATTTTGAAAAAAACAAAAATAATGGAATCTAAACCATAAGGGAATATTAAGCCCTATGCGGCAACTCCTAAGTATAAGCAGGAAATGTGAGTTTGTTTAACTTTTTTTTTTTTTTATATACATCATTTTTTTTACATGAGTAAGCATTGCATTATTGTTATTATGGGTATTCCTTTTATTCCTGTTATTATTATTTGGTACATAAACAGAGATAAATTTATACATGTGTGTGTGTGTGTATGTGTGTGTGTTTTATCATTATCTTTTTTTTTTTTCTTTACTTCTACTTTACCTTACTTTACTTTACTTTATATGAAGGTAATACTGTGGACACCCAAAAGGCATCATAGGGAAATAAGGGAAATAATGAATGATAGCAATATCAGTTACTACTTTTGATAATTGAAATTAAGAATGAAAGTCTACTGAGATGATCATTTTCATTCATGGAAGAAGAAAAAGCTATATGGCAAAAACATTGGCAACTTACTCCTTGTCACTCCCTTTTTTTAATACAAAATTGCATACATATAATTCATATGCATATATAGCCTCTTTTTTTTCTTTGTTTCTTTCCATTTTCACATACTGTTGTCACTATCTCATTATCGAGACATAATGGTTACTATTTCATCGTGTCTTGCAAATTGCAGTGATGATGTCGGGCGAACCAGACTACGAAGCGGCCGTGGGGCTCATCAGACACCTGCCAACAGAGGAGCTCCGAGACTTGGTCAATAACGATGACAAGCTGGCAGAGCTCATGAAAGACCTTCCACAGGTGAGTCATCTTGTACAGAGGCCTTCAAGTCTTTCTCTCGGTTCTGCCTCTCTTTTCTTTTTTTCTTTTTTCTTTTTTTTCCTTTGTGTGTGTGTGTGTGTGTGTGTGTGTGTGTGTGTGTGTGTGTGTGTGTGTGTGTGTAATATTGAGATCTAGAGAATTGATATAAATCATGATTTTGTTGATGTAACCATTAAGTGTCACACAAATTTTGGGTTTAAAAAAGTTGTATAAACCAATTTGAAATAATGATGAAGAATAAGACTGCTATTCTTTTGATATAAAGAGTTACGTCATCTATAAGAAAGAAGACAACAACAAAAAATTAAGCTTAGAAAAGTACAACACAGAAAGTACATTATACAGTTTTTGCCTCATTCACTAAAAATTGTTCCCATCCTTTATTCTAAAAAGCGTATAATGGATTGACGACCTCATTTGCTAAGTTAGTGTATCATGTACCTTACCATAATCCATTCATAATTCTCTCCTTGTTTTTGCCACAGATGAAGAACCTGGCCAGCGAACAGGAGATGCTCTTGGCAGCCAACAAGTCTTTAGCCGAGTTCAACCTTTCGCTGGAGCCCAAACTCTCACAGGTATTGTCAGATGCTTTCTGAAGTTGCTGGTTTTAGGTTATGATGGTTATAGTAAATAGAATTGGGAAAGAGATAGATTTGAAAGGAATGTTTATATCTTTCTAGAAACTCAAGATGTGACATATTAATGAACTTTAATGATTTGTGAAATGCTGTCATTCTTTTTTGTTACAGGTCAGGGAATTTGAGGGTTTCGGTAGTATAAATGTTACAAATACGGGAAAAGAGTGTTAGTAATGAGGAATTTTACCTGGTGTTAATGTGTAGTTCAGCCGTCTTTACTAATTTCTGGCTAATTAGCATGACATTTATTTTTATTTCACCAGGCTAAACAGAACCTAATTGCAAAATATGAAGAAGCTGCCAAACTTTCAGAGGAGGTCAACAACATGAAGGGAGAAATTGGTAAGTGTTATTCAGCACATATTTGTGAGTTTCAAGCCTGTATTCTAGTTTTGAATTCGTAGAGAAAGCTGAGAAACTTGCTTCCAACACATTACAGATATTTTGATTCACTTGTGTACCAATAGGAATCTGTTTTGCTACTTGTTGGTGCACACAGAGCCAAATCATAAATAATATTAATTCTAAAATTGGCAAAAAACAACAACAACAACTTTGATCTGGGACAAAGTACTGCAATCTTATATAAGCTCATGACCATTATCCATATTATATATCAAAAAGAACTGATTTTGAGGGGGAACTACAGTCTTTTGTCATAATAGGGCCCATGAAGGCTGACTCAAGCCTTTGTGGAGCCCAGACCAGAGTATGAGGGATGTCCCCAAATACTTTTAATATTTGTCAATGCTTCGTCATTTCCACAATGAGTAGTTTTCAATATAATAGTGAACAGTGACCATGATGTGATTACCAGTGACTTTTTTTTTTTTTTTAACTGAGCCTTCTTGGGAGTTCCTAGTTGCTATACATTCACCTGTGCCTTGAATCTGCCCAGCTGCAAACACAGACACTTAAAGGAAATGACATCTTTTTGGGCTTTTCTATTCTTGATATTGTTTTTAAGTTACAAAATATGTGTATATTTATTTTATTTGTAATATTTTTTTCTTCTTTTCCTCTTTCTTTAGGCATATCCACTGTAGAGAATCACTGTTAATTATTTCACTCACTTTACATAAAATGGCATGTGAAAGGCAAAGTTGCCCCCAATCAATTCAGGCAAAACTGTTTTCTTGATAATTTGTCTATAATTACTGATCTCCCAGTTACTCATGATTTTATTACAAGAGCTCATAGAATACCTGCAAATAGAAATGCCAGGTTCCCCATAAGTTATAAATAGTTGTTCTCTATTATTAAATAGAAATTTGAAAAGCCTTTTTCTTAGGAAGGAGAATATTAACCCATTGCCGCCGGGGAAAATGAAAAAAAAATGGGGGAAATGCAGTACTCATTTTTTATATTTTTGTGAAATATGTCTGTCCATAGATGGCTCTGCTAGTCCTGATTTCACCTTTCCTTGAAATGGCGGGAAAAAACGTATTTTTACTAGTGCTATAAATATAGATGGTGTTATTTTTAACAGCAAATTAGGATAACGTTAAATATTTTCGTAAATTGATGAAAAGGGTGAACAGGTGAGACAGGCAGTATTCGTAATTGGCTCATTGGATACTTAGTACAAGTGTAGCCATCTATGTGTAAAAACAATCAAACAAGTCGACTCACAGTGGGCATGGCATGTACGTACATGCCATCCCCGGCGGCAGTGGGTTAACAGGATACCACATTACAGTCACAGCAAAGATATATTCATACAACAAAAATTTATGTCAAATAGTTTTCAAAGTTGCCAGGTAATGAGGTTGTTAGTTAAACATTGATAGTATTTTGTATTGTAGTTTAGGTCGTTCTACAGGAAACTTGTACATGAGTTGAGTGGAAGGCCAGATTTGTTGCCCCCCACCCCCCTACACACATTTTTTAAAAGTATGAGAGACTGATGTTATTTTCACTAGCCAAAATGATAATAATAATAAAATAATACCTTATTCATTTTTGACATGTTGCTGGAACCCCTATTTTGTTTCAGTTGGTCATTTTCAGTTTTTGGGGAAGTATTGTATTTGGCCATATACACTTTTTATTTCAAATATACCTTTTATGGGATGTGCTCCAGCTGGCCATATATACTTTTATGTGGGGTGTACTTTTTTCTGGCTGACTATGAAAAATTTTATTACATGAAAAAAGAAATTCTCATAAGCAACATGTCCTTCAGCTCGTAGAATTCTGTATCTTTTGTATTTGATAAGATAGTGAATACTTCCTCATCATTTTATTTTATAATCTCATGAATTTAAACAAGTAAAAATACTTCCAGCAATGAATTCAGTAGCTAGTGGAGTTTCTTTGTTTTATCTCCTTCCACAGCATTTCATCTCTGTTGCTGTTTTTTCTTTCTTTTCTTTTTCTTCCCCCTCAAGTAAAACTAGTTACCACCATGTTCCTTAACCCATTGCTGCCTAGGATCGCATTTATGTACATACCATGCCCACTGTAAGATTAGTTTATTAATTGGCTTTACACATAGATGACTCCACAAGTGCTTAGTCACCAAGTAGTCAATTACTAGTACTATTTACCTCACCTGTTTACCTGTTTCCTTGATTTTCAGAAATATTCCCTTTTATCTGATATTTTTATTAGTAATTTTAATAACATTATAATTATAATTTCTGTAACATTAACATCCATATTGATATTGTTTTATTGATAAAACAGTATCTCAGAAAACTTGAGGAAAGGTGAAATCTGGTGAGGTCACCAGGCCTTCTAATCGACTCTTATGAAGCCATATGTGAGAAGAGACATTTCACAAAACAAAACTATAGTTAATAATAAATTTTACCAGCTGCAGTGGGCTAATATTTGGGGTAGACTAGTTGGCTTTTTTTTTATGGAACCTACTGATCCATCTTTCCTTTGCAGTTCTATGTATGTTTCGTTTTCAGTGGGCAGAAAGAATAGGATCATAATATATGTTTTATTTTATATCATGTTTACTGAAATGATAACTCACTTAATTTTACTGGGTTAAATATGGGTAATAGGTTGAAGTGTAATAACAGTTCACTTTTACTTCATTTCTTTGAATATTTTGTTATAGTCCAGATAAGTATCCAGTAATTTAAATTTACATTTTACAGCATGAATTTGCAAGGATTATACTAAACTGCATAAAGGAAGACAATAAAAATAGCAAAGTTTGAGTTTATTTCAATTTAACATGGACAGAATGTTAATAGATTGGTTATAGCTAATTGGTAAGAGTGACTAGAGTTTCTATGAGGTTCCCTTGGTGTTCACGTAGCGCTCGCTCTGCCTTCACTTTAGGGATTTCTAGCTCCTTCATGATTAGCTCAACATCTTCCTTCTTGATGGACACTTTCATCAACTCTTGTTCTTTTGCCGACTGAAAAGAAAGGGAAAGATTTAATTTTCGGATAGTTCCTATGTATCACTGGATGGTGCGTATATGTTATGTGACTGATTTTTTCTATTTGAGAAATCTAACAAAACAAAGCTCATAAAAATAATTAACTAGACATACTAGAATATTATGCAACATGAGAAAAGTAAACGATTGGTCATAAGCTCGTGTGACTGCACCTTTACTTTCCTCATATTACCTTTATCTATTTATATATCTACATATTCAAGTATAAGCTGTTAAGTGCCTAATGTTGTAAATGAAGTACCAACAAGCAAGTTACAAATGGGCAAACTACATCAACTTGCATTTCTGGCCACTAGCCAATTTTAAATACATTAATTAATAGGTTAAAGACCTCACTGCCATATCTGTTGACTGAAAATGAGCTCCTTAAGCAATAGTTTTGTTTGCCCTTGTGACTAGCAAGCCCTGTTGCTCCTTGACCCCTGCCTGAGAAGTTTTAACCCAATGGCGACGGGTAAAGAAGAAGAAGAAAAAGAAGAAAAAAAACTATGTTATGGTGAACCATGGCAGTGCTCCGACTTTGAGCGTGTGAGTTTGGTACATCAGGCCGAATCACTGGCTCGCCGCTGCGGCATACAGCCACATCCCACTTTTCAAGCTGTTTGTTTTCATGCCTAGCGGCATCACCCGTCATGAAAGGGTTAAGTAATACGCCTTATGAGTGATTATCTGGCCGTCCCTCGCTATGCGCTCAGTCCCAAGTTATGGTCATTTTCCAACATTCATAGTAGCAGAACTTTCTGCTTGATGCACTCTAGCATGTTGCTATATATATATTTATATATATATATATATGTTGCCATATTTGGCATGATGAGTCAGTTTGTTATTTGTGGAATACTCATTTGTATCCAATTATATCTTGTGGTAACGATTGCAACTTTTTGTCCCCGACACTATCATCTTTAATATCATCTGCTGCTTTGCGAGTCCAAACCGTAAAGATTAACTGGTTCTAAAATGTGGAATTAGTACGAGCAAAACTAATTGAGCCAACCCGACCTTCCAAGTGATGACTATTAGGGCTTTAATCTGAAAATTTATCTATTGTTGGAGTCAAAACATTACTGCATATGGGTCAAAAATGCATTAAAATACAACATTTAAAATAAGTTTGTATTCACCCAACCTGCAAAATTGGTAAGTCATTAATTCAAAGAATATCACGAAAAGGGAAAATATGATAGTTTCCCGTAGAATATACATTTCAAGAGTCCCGAATAATAATAATAACCGACCACTCCGACATCCACTAGCAGACCATACGGGCAGAAAATCATTCACATCTTGAAAAAAAAAAAAAAAAAGAAAGAAAGAAAAAAATCCTCACTCTCGTTGCTTCGTCCTGTTTCTTGACGTCGTTGATGACGGACATAAAGTTCGCGTTGGATTTGATCTCCTTCTCCTCCGCATAATTCGTCACTTTTTCCAAGTCGGCGGCACCGCTGTCGTGCTTGGCCGCCTTCTTGTCCTTGCTCTTTGTTTCGACTTCTTCTTCCATGTCGTGATTTTCCTCCTGAGACATAATAGGGCGAGAGGGCGAGGGAGCTGGACGTTCCGTGTGGCTCTCGGTCCTCGTTGTTTACAAATGGCTCACCCGCCGCGGGCGTGCACCTTGCGTTTCCAGGGCGGCTGCGGGGAGACATCTTTTGACTTTTTTAGTGTTATTAATTTTGCTTCCTTCGGTTTTGTTTTTCTTTGTTTTTTGCCGATTTATTTTGTATATTTCATGTCAAATATATATATATATATATATATATATATATATATATATATATATATATATATATATATATATATATATATATATATATATATTTTTTTGTGTGTGTGTTTATATATATATATATATATATATATATATATATATATATATATATATATATATATATATATATATACATATACATATACATATACATATACATATACATATACATATATATATATATATATATATATATATATATATATATATATATATATATATATATATATATATATATATGCATACACACAAAAAAGTTATATGATTGTTATTATTTTTTTAATTATTATTGCTTTATTAGTATTATTGATATTAATATTTTTTTTATTGATGTTATTGTTATTGTTATCATGATTATGAGTATTATTATTTTTATGTTACTATCATAGGTTTTGGCACAAATATTATTATTCCCCTGTCAGATGCATCCAGTGGGCAGTATTCAGCAGACATGCTCCAGGCTCTGCTACAGACAGCTGCTCGTGATGCAGAAGATGAGACTGAGGTATGAGCATAAATAATTCATTATTGTATATTCTGGCATTTTGTGTGTTTTTATTGGAGCCATATCATACATTTTATTGCCAGTAGGACATTATGTATATGCAGTTTATTTTAGGTGTTTTTAGGTTTAAGTTTTGTATTCTTCATTCCTTAAGATTAACATGAGATTTGTTTGATAGTTGACTGTAAAGTAGTTAGGCTTGATATGTTGTTTTGTCCTGTTTGTGGTGTTTGCTGTTGTAATTTTCATAATAATTCATGTGTTTATATATAATCTTTTCATTTATTTATTTTACTTATAGATTAGTTCTGTTTATTCATTATTTGATTTCAAATAATTATATGACTATCCAATGATATATATGACCATAAAAATGTCTTATCTTTTTTTGCGCAGAATCTTGTGAAGTCATTCCTAGACAAGGAACAGGAAGTGGATGATTTCCTCTCAGAGTTCCTCACCAAGAGAAAGACAGCCCACTTGCGCCGCATTAAGTCTGAGAAAATTGTCGATATCCTGAACAAGTCGAGCAACAGCCACTCTACGCCCTACCCATCCCAGCCTGCACCAGCTGGGGGAGGGTACGGGCCTGGCCAGTGGCAGTCACCCTACCCTCCACAACCCATGAACATGCCTATGCCTGGCTATCACTGAGTTTTGTAGTGTGATTTTTCCTCCCCCTACCCAGCCATTCCCCCCCCCCCTTTGTCCTATATGCTGTGGAGATCACAAATACAAAGTGAAAGGAAGCAGACAATTGCTGTAGCCTGACTGGTCTCTTTGAATTGGATAATGAGGAACTTTTTTTTTCTTTTTGTGTTTTTCCTCTCGTTTTAGATTAACTGTTATAATTCTTCTTCTTTTTCTGAGATATGTAAAATTATTGAAGTTTATTATTGAAAAATAGGGTATGTCTTTCTATTAGGAATATACAATACATTTAACCCAGACCAGATCCTTATATTTCACAATTTTCTGTATGATGAAGATTGATATCTAAAAGATATATCATAGATTCCATTAAATAATTTGTCACACATTTTGAATCAATGAATAATTGCATATAATGCTTTTTGTCATCAGTCTGTCAGAATTAAACCTAGACCATATACATATTCTAATTATCATTATCCCATAAGCTGCATTAACATAAAGATATTAAAACACAATTTATATATACATACATACATAAATACATAAAATATATACATATTTGCATATATGAATATGTGTATATATATATATAATATATATATATATATATATATATATATATATATATATATATATATATATATATATATATATATATATATATGTATATATATACACACACACACACATATATGTGTGTGTGTGTATGTGCATGTATGTATATTTATGTATCTATGCATTTGTACCTGTTTTTTTGTTGTTTTTGAGTGATTGAATTGATTTATTATTATTATTATTATTACTGTAAATATTTTTTCCATGAAAAGGAAATTGCCAATTTTGCCACTTACTGTCCACAGTGATTTACAAAGTGGGTATGTGAATCTGTGTATTAATGCATGTGTGCATATACAGTTAAACAATGGAACTCCTCCAGTCTACAAACCACTGAAGCTCTGTAGCTTTATGCATCGAATTACCAGTCACCTTCAGGGCAAATAGGAATCCTTATATGTTATCCAATACAATATTTTTAACAAGTACTGTTATGTGTATTCCAATATAAAAAATACAATAAACTGAGTTAATGCATCAGTTTTTTTTTCCAGATGTTATTTATATTACCTGATATTTGATTATGAAATGATAAATCAATTCATTTACAACCAATATTGCTGGCATATATATTTTTTTTCTATTCATTTGCAACTTATTAGTTCAACAGCAGACGAAAGACATTGAAAAATAATTAGAAAAAAACGAGCAGATAATATGTATTTCAACACCATATATTTATTCTAGCTATCCTGTACTTTCTTCACCATACATTTGTATTTTCCTAACTCTCGCTGTCCCTTTCTTCCTTCTTTATCTTTTCTGGTGAATGTAATGGTAGCACAAATAATGCTAATTTGTGATTAATTGAAATGTAGAGTCAACGTAAAATCAGTATGTGAACATGACAGATTGGTAGAATGTGAATCATATGATCTTGTAGTTTTTGAGTTTGTCACTAATATTATTATCCAAAGGTCATATAATTTTCATTCCGTGTGTTTCAGTCAGGTATTCTTTGTATTGCTTTACTGTATTTTAACCATTGGTATGTTGGTATGCATGTAGCATCAACATGGCTTTGCTTTATTGACACAGCTGGCTTCCCAAGCACTTTGTCATCAAGGAGCCAATTACTAGGCCTACCAGACCTTTGCTCCAATATTTGATTTTGAGAGAGAAATGTTTATATTGGTGCTGTTATTGACATGTTAAGAATAATGATAATTGTTATAGAGATTTTTAAAATTCCCCCAAAATTCAAGGGATGGAGTAAACAGGAGGGGCCAGGTACGTCTCTACTTGTTTTTTTCACTGAGAGAAAAAATGCATTTGGGAAGTTGGTGATTATTGACTGAACGTGCCTGAGTAATGTTGGTGTGCTTTAAAGAACTATCATCATCAACTGGTCAAGTGTTTCTTTGCATCAGTAAAGTAGAGTAGTGTATAATCATTGACTCTTTGGTGGGGAAGCTCTTGTGGAGCCATATATGTGTGAAAATAACAAGGATGATGTCCCCAGCACCAGTGGGTTAATTTAGATGGCTTTGTGATTTACATTTCTTTCTATTTCGTTTGGTGCCTTTATGTTGTTTATGTAACTGAAGTTGGCTAAAAATTTCAGTGTGTGTGTGTGTGTGTGTGTGTGTGTGTGTATGTATGTATGTGTGTGTGTGTGTGTGTGTGTGTGTGTGTGTGCACATGCGCGCATGCCCATGCCTGTTTACCTTTATCTGTCTGTTTCTGTCTGTTTTATGCATGAACACTAGTGTCACTTGTCTATCAGCTCTGTTCTGTGGTGTAGACTTCACTAGACTGTTTTCAATCTCTCTGTTAAACCTTTGTATGTTTTAAAATTTCAGCTGTACAATTAAACTATGATTTTATTAAATTACTTTTAAACTGTTTGATTGCTATTTTGTCACTTCCTGTTTCCTTACTCTTGAAGTACTTATTTTTCCACTGGCATTACTTTGTATAGCTTCTTGTACTTCAGTAGTGCCTGTAGTATTCTTGCCTTTTAATCCTAATTGTTTACATTGTTTTGTTTTTTTTCAACCAAGAAAAATCATTTTTTTAATATTACTACTGCAGATACTACATTCAAGTACCAATGAAGTGAAATTACCTAGCTTGATTTATATGTTCTTGTAGACTTTTTAGAAATCTTATCATTATCAAATAGTTGTGAAGGAAAATATTACATTAATTATTTTGGCCAAAATTATAAATTATGCCAGTTTAAAAATCATTAATTCTTAATGCTTTCTTTTAGAGAAAGTATTAAATTCTACCTCTCTGTTCTTGAGTCAGCAGAGATTTTCATTCATCTTACAACAGTAGCATTAAAATTCTTGAATTTGCTATGACTTTATTTATGGTGCTTTGTCACAGGAACTACTTATTCAATTTTCTGAAATAAAGAAATATGGAAAAGCAAGATGCATAAGATCTGACATATAAGGTTCGTTAATAGTAAAGATTATTGTCAAATATGACAATAAAGTTCAACAATTTTATTCTTTATACTGTCTTGTTTTCACTTCTGTCTTTTCTATATTACTTAGCATGGAAGCAGGATTAATTCAGTGGTCAAAATACTTGTTAAAATGCTTATAAACATTAAGAGAAGAAAAAGAAGAAATTAAGTACTTTGTCAAGGTAAAAAAACATGATATTATGCTTGTTTCTTTATTTACGTACATCTCGAGTATGCTATTAATATAGCATTTTATATATTTACAAGTGTGCACAGAAAACCATGCATCATTAATTCCTGAAGGCATATAAAATAAATATTTTGATAAATAATTCTCCCTATTTTTTATACACATGATAAGTTCCAGGATAAAAATATTTCTGATACAATCAAATTTTTACTTGTAACTATATGCATGTATCTAAAACTTACATATTGCTATAAATTAAAATTAGTTCAATGTCAACAACAAAGAAAATTTTAGCTATTTTTCTTTCACTTTATCATGATCTGAAGTGGATGAGAATGAAACTTTAATACAATAGAGCACCATAGCCACAACTAAGATATAGACAACAGACTCTGCCTTTTTCTCCTCAACAATTTCTGTCCGTGACTTCTGTAACCTCTCATAGCGCTCCTTAGCATTCGCACTGCGGGCAAAGCTGCTTTCATAATGGAGTTTAGACCACTCGTCAAAGTCATATATTGGTGTCCGTCCCGTAGCTGATGGGGCTTTCCCTCGCTTGCTCCGGGATTCGTAGAACTTTGAGGAATATTCTTCTGCTTCGGTTGGCGATGCAGCAACGTTCATGTTCAGTAGGCCTTTGTCGTACATCCTGCGCTTCTTGAGGTTGCCCAAGATCTCGTAGGCTTCTGTGATCTCTCGGAACTTAAGGGCGGCATCCTCAGTCCCCCTATACTGGTCAGGATGGTACGTCTTGGAGAGTTTGTAGTAGGCTTTCTTCACCTACAGTAAATTAAGGTAATTATGTTAACAAAGAAGAGGCACTATGCTGGTAATCTAGGTATTATTTGAGCTGTAAAAAATGGTAGCTAAGATTACTTATCATCATGGTTTATCATTCTGTATTATGAAATAAGAACAATAATTGTTTCAAAAGCTCAAACATTTGTAGACATCTATAGTAGAAATTCATATATAAATATAACTGTATAAAAAAATAGCAGAAACAGCAATGATGAAAATCTGTACTATTATCATAATCATTATCATTACTATAAGGACAAGTAAAATCATATATATAAATAAGTAGAAATATAATTGCAATCATAATTATAATTATCATTATAATTACACAAATAATCATGATGATGATGGTAGAGATGATGATGATGATGATTGACTCATTCTGTGCATATTATTTTAGTATCTTTCATGCCCTCCCCTGCTATCAAGGCCAAGATTGTGGGTATTGGAGGAGGGGTTACTGATGCACAAATTTTATATACGGGTAGTAGAGAGTGAATGGAACCCATCAATACCCCTTTTGCCGTGATCAGTCATGTGAAGGTATTCTGAACAATTACTACAAAGTGTAAATAGTAAAATAATCCTCATTATCTCCCCTGAAATCACTTACACCTTTAACTTTTATGCCAAGATCGTAAATATTACAAGATGGAAATTCTCAATAACTTCTAAATAAAATCAAAATACAGGTATACAGAATTACTCAAATAATCAACACTGAAGGTCCAAACCTGAGATTGCGTAGCCTTTGGCGTGATCTGGAGAATTTCATAGTAACTCCTCCTCTTCGGGATGGTCGAGATTCGCGCTTTCTGTTGGTTGTTTGGGGTCCCGGGATATAGGCCTATGCCACTCATCCCTGGTATTAATAAAGGTCTACCGTTCTCAAGCAATGCACGCGTGAGGCTGTTTCTTGCAAAGCTGTTCATTGCACTCTTTACTTCCGTTCTACAGATTAATGAGGTCATTATCATCCTAGTTTTCGTCAGGTCACCCAAATGACCCGACTTAATACAAAAACCAAATAGGCCTGCCTTACGCAATATTTGGGATATCGTAAATTCTCTTCAAACCGACACATCTGTGGTACTTTATCATCTCTGGTTAAGTAAACACTAAAGATATGAGTAAAACATTCAACAAATCCAAATATTACATAATGGCAATCCCCGGGTGTTACTTCGTCTGCATCAGCTGTTCACAACAACACGACCCGCCATCTGGGGACAGAAGCGGCAAACACGTGCGTTCGTTTAAGGCGTTCGCGTAGCCTGTCTATCCGGGAAGGGGGGGGGGTAGATTGGACATACATACGGTCTACACTTATAAAGACTTTACCCCCCCAATCCCTTGCCCGTTGTTGTCGTGGGGGGGCTTAGGAGGCGGAGACTGGGACCCAATGATGGGGAACTCCCCAACCTTGGGACTCAGCCCTCGACTCAACTAATTATGCATGGTCTTTTTTTCCCTTCCCACTTTTGTTTCTGTCCCTTCACCAAACCCTTCTGCTATCCACCTCCTAAGGTGTGAGAGCCGTGCTGAAAGGACGAAAGGCTGACTTTGTGCCAGTCCTGAACGGCCTAAGGGAGCCATGGGCACGGTATTCCCCTGATTTAGTTATCTAGCCCTTACCCCTCAAGGGGACCCTGAGGGGTGGACTGCTTTTATCCCCAACATAATCCAGGCTTCCCATGGCCAGTAATGAAAATATATCCCCAATGTTAGGGGCAATGAGGCTTGCCCCTTTATCAAATAGCCCCAACGAAGTAAACCCACCCGATTCCCCGACCCCAGGCTCTCCTTTGACCACGGCTCCAAACACTGCAATAACTACCCCTTCACCAATGCCTACTAGTACAGTAGCCAACAATCAACCCTCAAGGAACATTTCCACTCTCCCAGCATGCCCAACTTCAACACCTCTACCCCCACAACCTCCAACATCAACCACCCCATCCTCCCTTATTAATACCTTACAGCCTTATAGCCCACCTCTCCATAACACTACCTCCATCAACACAACTCCATCTTCGTCACGCCCTCGCCCTTCTACCACCCCTATCTCTAAAACAATCTTGAATACTCTCTTCAGTGCAGCCAAATGGGACCGATTTTTCGTGATCCCTCCCACAGCTCCCTACTCTAACAACACCCTTCTCTTCCAACAATGCCTCCAAAAACAAGTAGGTAAAGTCTCTTTCCGTAGCCGACCCGACCGCTCCCGTCTTGTAACAGTAACATCCGAAAACCAAGCCATAGCACTAACAAAACTAACTGACCTATATGGTAACCCCATCCTAGCAGAACCCCATCCAACCCTCAATACTTGCACCGGAACAGTCTCAATCTCACCAACAAATTGCCCAATCTATGACAAAGAATGGCCAGATTGTGGAGAAGATCTACTTGCCTGTCTCACAGACTACGATGCAACATCAGTACAATGCTATTCCATCCCCCCCAGAGGTCATCGAAAGAAACCCACTAACATAGCCAAAATTACCTTCCGTAGACATGACCTTCCCTTTAACGTCTACATAGGAGGAGAATCCCTCCCTGTTCGTCCATACCAACCTCCTCCACGTCAGTGCCAAAATTGTTGGCGTCTAGGACACCCAGCCAAACACTGCCGTTCCACAGCCAGATGCCCATTATGTGCCCAACCTGGCCATACCCGATCTAACTGCTCTGCACAATCACGCACATGTGCCAACTGTGGCGGCCCCCATAATGTATTTTATAGGGGCTGTCCCACCTACAAATTTGAATCTGAGGTAGCAACTCTCAGATTCAAACTCGGACTCACACTGCGTGAAGCCAGACAGGAAGCACGTCGACGTGGATTCTCTCTTACTCCTTACTCCAGTAATACTGCTCATCCTAACACTTCTCCTAAACCTACCCCTCCTACATCTAACCCCCCCACTAACCCCACCTACCTTCCCCAGTCAAACTCTTTTGCCATCCTAAATCCAGAAACTCCAATCTCTACTACAGATACTCCAATCACCACTACAACCCCAACACCTTCCCCTCTCCCTCCTCGCACTCCCCGTAACAGACAGAACAAACGTTCCACCCCCTCTTCCCCTACCACACAATCACCCCCACCATCCTTTGCCCGTACTCTTGAGACACCAGTCCTCTCTTCCCCCCCTCACAAGAAATCCTTTATCCCCCAAAACTCCCCAACCAACTCCACAGAAGAAACTATTGAAAATATTCAAGATTACTTAATGAAAACCGACACTCAACCTACAACTCCTGCTCCTTCCACACTCCAAGTAATTGCTGATATCCATCCTCCTCCTAACGATATCCCCCCTACACCCTACCCTCCTACCCCCTCCCAACACAGCCCATCCCCCCTGACCCTGCCCACATTAACTCTCCCACCATCCCCTCTATCCCTTCCACTCCCTCCTGTATATACACGTGAATCCCTTATGTCACAAGTATCCCCTTCCTCAGACCCTCCATCTCCTACTACCCCTCCTGATAGAACACCAACTCCCACACCTCTCCCATCTCAAACCTCTCAGTCCTTATCCCACCCTCTAGCTGCTTCCCCTTCAAATTCTCCAACACGTACTACAATCTATATCACTAAATCAACGAAAGTATAACTATCCTTCATTGAAATATTCGCGGTTTCCGCTCCCACAGACCTGACCATCATATCCTTTCCTCTTATAACCCATCTATTGTATGCCTTCAAGAAACCTTTCTTATGCATACCCTTTATCTAATATAACACCTGACCTTAACCCTTTCACTCACTAATTCCTTTGCCCAGCTTAGACAACTAATCACTAACTCAACCACCCTTCACTAACATTAACTATAGTGCTACATGACCTTAGATGTCTAGCACATTTATCTTGCTTTTAACCATTAACCATTATAAAGACTTTATACACATACAAAGTCTGTGTTTATACAGACGTTGTACACGTGTACGTACATATACATATATTTACACACTATACATACACACACACACACACACACACACACACACACACATACACACACACACACACACACACACACACACACACACACACACACACACATGTATGTATGTATGCATGTCATCGGCCAGAAGCAGTGATAAAATGTAACCCTTTGTTACTTATGATGATAGGAAAATCTAAGGGAATAAAAACACAAAATAAAATATGGTGGTTCATATGGTGGAATGACTACATTTTTTAGATTATTTAATTATCAGTGACTTGTGTATAAAAGAGCCTAACTAAAAATGTGTTCAAAGCCGTAAATATTTTAGATAACTTGAGACTTACTATAAGCTTTGGTAGATTAAACTTTTTACCTACAAGGAAGATAGAATGTCTTGCAGTGCGTTTGTTCTGGATTCCTGACGATTGATTGTTTCTTTAACAAACAGAAAAAATATTTAGAAATGTGCTCTTTGGATCTTAAATCAAAAGGATTTTACATTAAGAAAGATGGCTAAATTTATCGGGAACTCGGTTGCAAGTTCTCTTGGTGTTCTATGTGGTTGCATTTAGATACAAATATCTAGAGATTTTGAAACGACAAGGAAGCTCATGGCTTTCAGAAGGTAATTTGTATATTAACCTTTTAGAGTTAATGGCTCTGGGTGCCTTGGTTATTAGTTTAATCTGTTTATCCAAGTAAAATATGATAACAGGATACACATTAGTCAGATTAACAAGTATAGTGCTAACAATTTAACTGTTACGTATTCTGGGGAAAAATCGTACATGATAGAAAGTTTTATATTTCTGCTATACACATCCCAGGAAACATAATTTAATCGATGATAAATTATTTACAATAAAGCATTAGAAAGGTGAATGGCAACTAAATCAAAAGCCTTTTAAATAGAACTTGTAAAGTTTATGAGATCCCTGATATTAATCTTTTTAGTTCTCATTCAAACCGCCTTTGTCCTAAGAGTCCAATTTAAACCCTGCAAACTAGCTTTTGCTTGCGATGCATTTGCTTAGATTTGGTCAAGAACATTTAAATATGTCTCCCCCCCCCCTTTTTTTTCCTTAATTGGTAGGGCCCTTCAAAAACTCGGTGAGGACGAGTCCGGTGCTCTCGTGATAGCTCCAATGTGACCACCATGCCCTTTTTTACGAAACTCCTGGCAATGCTATCAGGACATCCCAAGAGACTGCTACACAATGCGGATTGTCACCCCACAGCCAGAACATTGGTACTACCATGCGGGAAATCATTGACTCTTGTGACCTGGCCTGTTTCAGGGAAAGTTACATAAGTGTTGGAATTCCAGAATACATTGCTCAGTTCATGTCTTCTTGCAGGAAAAACCGTATTTCCTTATCACCCGGCAATGGATTAGTTTTTGTGAATCGAGAGAAATTAATTTCTATAATCCACTTTTAAATGGCATTTTAGAATTATTTTTTTCAAACATTTAACAACAACAACGGGAAAAATGTCTTAGTTTAGTTGATGAGTTGCGATGTGCAATCTCTTCTATTGTCTACATTGAAGGATTACCAGTAGGACAACATCCTCTTGTTTGTCACTTTATGAAGGCGGTATATAACCTAAATCCACCGCTCCCAAGATAGTTTGATACTTGGGACCCAGAAATGTTATTGAGTTGTCTCAGAAAAAATGAAATATAAGGATATGACAATGATGAGGAAAAAGTGTTAGTTTTAATGTTGCTGCAGTCGGGTCGAGGCCAAACTATCCATAAATTTGATTTAGATCATGCAACAAGGGAGTGATTCTCCAAAATATAGAACATCAAAAAAAAAAAAAAAAAAAAATCGAGAATAGGTAATCATATGGCTCACATTTCATTTAAGAAATACAAGAAGAGGAATCTGTGTGTTTTGTAAATTTAAAACTTGTAGGCTACCTTGAAAAAAGTAAGATTGTAAGGAAAAAAATACTTGAGACACATATAGCTATCAGCAGATCAACTTTATCTAGATAGACTGGGTATCCTGAAGAAATCAGGAATTAATGTTGGTAAACACAAAGCAGCTCCTACGAGACATGCCTCAATAATCATGCCCAGCGTAGGATGTCATGAAACTTGCTGGTTGCTCGTGAGTGTAATTGAACAATGTTATCTAAGTGTCACATGAACTGGTTATGAATCTGGCATCTTGCTGGGGAATATTCGGGAACAATACAGTTCGGTTTAGGACAGAAAATGTGAAAGGAAAGGGAACAATTGGAGATTTTTACTC